GAATTATTTCTGTTTTGACTTACCACATACGCTAAAGGGACTCTTACCTGAGATTGGTAGTGTGGCACATGCTGCACAAGAGGCTGATTAGGAAACTGTTGGGGACTATATGCAACATATTGTGTTGAATAAGCAGGTGGCGTAGCTACAATTGGAGGGCCTGCTGCTGAGGCAGGGTGCATCATGGTGCTCTGATGATGTTGGTCTTGCCGTTGCTGTGGCATATTTGGTACTACAAAGCAAAGAGGGACCCACATTAGACACACAGGACGAAGAATGCCCATCTTCCTGAAAGGTTTTACATTACAATGTCACTGTGACCAAGTGGAATATCCTCACCCCTCACCTTTAACCACATATTAGAGCTCTATCAAAAAGGAACAGCATGAAAATGAGTTCCTCCAAGAAACACTTTGTTTTCATCACTGCCTTTCAGCCATGTACCCAGCCACAAACCCAGGCCTGCTTTTTTGTGAAAGAAGGAAGGAAGGAAGGAGGAGAGAGAGAAAGACTGACAAGAATCAGTAAGAGAAGAGAAAGGTTATATCAGGATACCTACGTTATCAAATTTGATCCTGTCCCCTTCAAAAGGCTTAATTCACCCTCTACGGGAACTACTCAGCAACTGTTCCATCAACTGGAAAGCTGAGTCTGTTAAAATTACTTGTGCTTATGGCTGAGGAGAGCAGAATAAAGGTCTCCATGCAGCCACAATTTGAGGTATTCACATCTTTTAAGCTCTGGGCTACCCTGAAGATAGCAGAAAGCAACTTTTAGGTCACAATCAACACTGAAGGGGACAAGTCAACCTATAAGAAGAGAAGCAGTAGGAGTAATTAAGAGGAAAGAAAGGTTAAGAGAGCAGAGCACTGTAGTGTGGGACTACCTGAGCTATCCTGGTAAGACAACCAACCGAACCACAGCAGCAAGGCACTCAGAACAAACTAATTCAGCCTACTAAGCAACAGGGCATGAGAGTTCAAGGTGAGCTCCAGCTTGCTGCAGTGAGACTGTAACTAATAACTATGCTAACTCAGGCACCTGTAAACTCCACTGCAGTGTGCAATGTAGACAGACCCCTTAGAGAGAGGAAAGGAGGGAAATGTTGCAGATGTCAGTAAATGCACTCAGTGATGATTGTATTTACACTGCAAATCAACAATAGAAAAAAGTAAACACAGGACGGAACTTGAACAGCGTAAAGGCACTGAACTTTAACCCATGCAGCTCCTTCAGGACTACGCTGCACGCAGAATGGATATGCAGAAAATAATAAAACTTAAAAAAGGAATTCAGAACAGGAGAGCAGCCTCACACAGCAAGTGAGTACACAGCAATGTATTTCTGATTACAACAATCAGTGTTACCAACAAAAAGATTTCATGGGTCAGGCCACAGTAGAGTTAGCGTGTTTTAAAATCAAAATACATTGCAGGTTTTTGTCTTCCCTACATTCATAAAGGCTACTTGTTCATTTCTAAACAGCAGAACTGCTCTTTTAAACAATTTCCTCCTCCAGTGACTGGAGCTGCAGCACTGGAACCTATCATCATGAACCACTGTATAAAATTGCAAGAAAGCATGCACTGTGTAGAATTAGAGCATTATCTGAAATGTGACTATAAAAACAAGACCATCATTTTTCTGCTCCTTCGCTGCACTGCACAGAAGAGAGTGCATCTCGCCACACGTGTTCTTGTCTCCATAGCCACAGGTGTCACTTGTTAAAAACACAGTATTGTTAGTCCAGCTGTTCAGTTACTGTTGCAGAAGGAATGCAAAAGAACAAACTGGAACCAGCAGTAAGTTCTTTCCAGAAGAGTAGCATAGCATACTCTTTCTGAAGAAATAGCGATTTTGCTTGCTGACAACGAACCCCCTCTATAAAGCACCACTCAGGGCTCTGCTGTAAACCAGTACAGAAAGTTCCCTTTAAACAAACCCACAACATTTATGAAATATAGGAGACAATCAGCTTACCCTAGCGTTCCAAGTAACGGAGACATTTTCCCGTTTGTTAAATCAAATTCCAAACCAAGCAACTCCCCATTACTCAAACTTATCGTGTTTTGGCTGAATTAAGTTTATCTAGAAATGCATTAGTTATTTCCACTTACTTCCCTTTATTAAAAATAGCATTTAAAGTATCAGTCAAAACCATGTTAACATGGATTAGAAAACACACAAACATTTGTACTTTATTCATGCTGCATGCAGACTAAGAACCAAACAGGCAGTATTATTCTCACCTTTACCTGCTCTATATGTCTTGGCTTGGTTCACTGGCATGGGCGTCATGGGAATAGGATACAAAGGCTGAAACAGAAGGAAGAGTTGAAGTTATGATATTCCTTTAAAAAGTGAGCGTGTGTCTGGGTGGGGGCCGCACTCAGCTTTGATGTGTTTTACTCTGTTACGTTACATGGTTTAGTGAACTCTGCCTAACCTATGATATTTTCTTGGATCACTGTGATCAAGTCTGCATGTACAAACAACTAAGACCATATGGTTTGCAACAACCAGTCCAGCATTGCTACTACTGCTATTTCAAGCAATATACTAAATCAGACAACTTTGGAACAAGAGTTGTATTTGAAATCCTAGTAATCCCTGCAATGACCAGAAACTAGTGGGACATAGCTGGAAGTTAAAGATGAAGAAACAGTTGCTTAAAACTTAAAAAGAGTAAGACTATGCTTGGAGGACTGGGGACCTAAGTCTGCACAGATTAACAATAACCGTGAGTAAGAGCTGCTGGTATTTACAAGCGTTTGAGACCATTAGAACATCTAGGTCGAGGGACCACTGGGAAAAGTCAGTATTTACATAGCTAAAGCTTAGCAACAATGTAATTGTGCCCACATTGACAAGAGTAATACAAGCTGTACCATTTCCCTGTTTTAACTCAGACCTTCTAAGTCTCCTCAACTTGCTGACAACCATCTGAAAAGCATTAATGAGCTTGCAGCATATGCTGCACCTTACCTGCACGCCCGGACTCACTGGAACTGGGTACATCATATTTGGTGCAAAACAAACAGGCTGAGTGTACACTGGGGTTGGCTGCTGATGACCCACCATGGAGGGGCTAGGTTGAGCTTGCGGACGAGGGGAGGTTGGTGTAGTAGAAGGTTTCGGCTACAAACAGAAATGCATATGCAAGATTATCCTTCATGTAAAAGGTTTGCTTATAAAGATCTACTCAAAGGCAATGTTAAACAGTATCAAATAACTTACTTGAGCAAAGGATCGAGGGTTGAACTCTTTTGCATTAGGATTAAGTGTTGATTTTCTAACTTGCCTAAACAGAAAGAAAAAAAAAATGTGTTCAGCATTATTTTTTTACAAGCGTATCTTCAGAACTCCCTAACAATTGAGGTTAAATACCTCATTTCCATCTGTGAGTCAGATTTTTGAGAACTCAAACAACACATGGCATGCAAAAAGCCTGCTGACAGTATTTACTGACAGAACTCTTACTATACTTGTTCATAAAAAAGTTTTCTGCTGTTGATACTACAGCTCACGTGAACCAGGAGAACATTTAAATAAGCATTTAGATGTGGATTAGGCATCAGCAGGACCAGAGTTCTATATGCAGCTCTGCCACTGACTCATGAGATGACTTTCAGTACAGTCACCTCACCTGTCGTTTTCTCTGTGTAACAGAGAGAACTTATATCGGCCATAACAAACAGTAAAACATTACACACTCATAATAGCTTTTTCTACAAACAGCTAAATGCTAATAACAGACGTGCTTATTCCAAAAGGCATAATTACTCACTCAGAAGTATCTTTCTTCTCCTCTTTATCCTCTTTATCTTGTTTACTTCCAGGCCCAGATGTCTGTACACCTTGTGAAGTTACCTCAGGCCCTCGTTTTTGCTCAGAACTATTACTTATCGAAGGAGAAATACTTGGACTATTAGGTTTGCTACTGCCACCATTAGAGTTAGTATTACTGCCAGTTTCTATGATAGATTCTTTAGGGGTTGAGTCTGTCTTTTCTTTAACTACATCTCTTGATTTTTCACCTTCTCGGGTTTTGTTTAGCAGCTGATCCACTGCATCTGAAGAGGAACTTGACTGTAACTGAAAAAAACCCAAGGAATATATTCAGTAAATTGATATACAGAACTAGGGAGAGACAATTTAATGCTATCACAGACACAGAGTAAAATACAGTCCCATAGGCCTCAATCATCTGGAAATGACCTTTTAAAACATACACTTCCATTTCTACTAGAAAAGAAATCTATGAGCATTGACAATGTTTTAAGCCTACACTGTGAAAGAAGCTGTTCAGCGACTCAACTGACCTATATGTTGACTAGGAAGCGACAGGAAAGCTTAAGACAACCCTCCGGACTCATCTCCCTGGGTGATTTAACAGTAACACTTGAAAAGCTAACCTGATTTAATAAACCGTTATAACCAGGAAATAAGGAATATGAATTCATCTTCAATTTTCCTCAGCAAAACCCTTTACTTAATTTTGAAATAGCTCTTCCATATGGAGCATAAATGCGATAATTATTTGTACCTAATGATCAAACAGGTTTCACGTACTATTTTCAGTGTACAGTCAATATGCACATTTACATGTATTAGGCAATTGTACTAGCAAGTGTCAGCATTGATTTTATATTATCTAGCATGAATTCTTATAGATATTTTCATAAATTAAGCACAAGTCGTAAGGACTTGGGTTTCCTGTTAACACATGCAGTGTATTCAAGTCATTAAAATAATCTGGATGCACACGAGAACTATGATACCATTAAATTAACAGACAGACAAACTTACCCTAAAGTCATTCTTAAATTTCTTTAAATCATCAATCTGTTTTCTATGTTCTGAAACAATTGGAGATACACCTGCCAAACATAAGACCAACATTGTCCAAGCATTTCTAACACAAGTTTTATACACAAACACGTCACAAAGTTTGCAAAAAGGCAACGTTTGCATATCTAAAAAAATGAAACAGCGATATCATTTCACCTGTAACTTAGTATACTTCCATGAACTACGTGTATGAGCACACAAAAATACTCTGTGAAACCACATAACTGACGGATCTATAGTTCTAAAACATCACACCAAGACAGAAGCCCTGAGGTGCAGGGTCTGCAGAACTCAGCTGAACACAAAGAAGTATGCAACAAAACCCTCAAAACATTAACGCGCCAGCGTTTCAAGCCATAGCCAGTAAAGGTGAAACACTGATCAAGGTTAGGTTTACGATTGGACTTGATGATCTTAAAGACCTTTTCCAACCTAAATGATTCTATGATTCCAAGTTCAACAACATGGAAAGATTTTTTTGAGAACTGAATGAACAATGCTGCAGAGAAAGCCAAATTTAAAGCGTAACAGGAAGAAGTGCAGTTACAAAAAACGATGCTGACCATGATGCTCAGAAGTATGGCAAGCATAGCAGGTTTAGTGCTTGGAACTCCTACATTACTCAAGTATGTATGAAAGCTTTTGATACAAACCTTTGCTTTCAGTTTTAGGAAAACTAGGAGAAGTCTCACTTGGCTTTATATTCTCCTTGTTTCCAGCTGCAGAATTTTGCCTCTGGTCCTGAAGCCTAGTATCTTTAGCTAGAAAAGAAATTGTCAAAGTGATTCTCTTACACACAACTCAAACTGACCATAGAGAGTTAGCAAGATAGACACAGAGGAGACATTTAAACATGTTTAGTTTACAAAACACTAAGTTACACACTTTCTGCCGCCTCGTTAAGGCCTGGAGGGTTATCCTTCCCCCTTTCTCACCCCTACTGTCTTTTAAGCCAAATGAAAAAGCCCCAGTCAAACACATCCCTCTCATCACACACAGAACCTTGACTAAGCTGAAAAAACTATAAACTGAGAGCAAATTATTTTCAATAGTCCAAGGTCTTCATACAGAATGCTACAATGACTTGAGAGTTCTTAAACATTTGACTGTGCTCTTGAATGTTTTTTTCCCCCTTCCTTTCACTATGCTCAAAATATCCTTTGAAATCAGTGGCCTACGTTTCTTTACATTAGAAAACAGCCAGGTACTCAGTTTGAAAAAAATCCTCAATTAAGTCAAGCACCTATAGGCCCATGTTCTTCATAGGACAGAAGAAATTAAGCATACAGACTTATCAAAAAGCCCCTCTCCAACCTCAGTTTAAAGCTAGGATCATGAGAAAAGGGGAACTCACTACTCAGTGAAATTAAATGCATCAGAAGTTTTCCTGTCACTTTGAAAGCAGCTTTGCTCCTGTCTAGGCATATTCATTGTCAGGTATTAGGGAAAGGGAGCATTTGCAAGCTAGTGGGGCTAACTCACCTTCACTGGAAGGGGTAACTGCTCTGTTGGATGCAGGGCTGGCAGGTGTAGGAGAGGCAGCTGGAACAGGCATGGCAACAGATTCAGTGGGAATAGTACCAGGCTGAGGAGAAGGCAGAGCTGGTCCCGTGGGAGTGCTGCTCTGCCTCGGAGACCTAGGCCTGTGTGTTTTAGGAGATAATCTTGGAACTAGAAACAAACAGGAAAAAATAGTTATAGGATAAGTTTCCTCATCTGCTCAGCAGTTTGCTTATTTTTAAAATGACTAAGAACATGCTTTAAAATACTTAGTGGAACATTATATAGTAATTGAAAACCTGTTTACCTTTCAGGTACATCTCCTAGTTCTTTACAACGCAGCATTTCAGATAAGTGGTGTCATTTTTCTGCAGACTGTCCCCTACTGTATATCACTGCCCTGTAGTCCCACCATGAAACTGCAATATGCTCCCCAGCCCCCCAGTAGTACAACTACAACAGCTCACATTAACACAGTTTCAGGCAGAACAGAAAAGGTGGTCAGGTCTCCACACAAACAGATGAAAAACATTTTTTTTAAAGGGCTGAAAAAACACATCCATTTTACAGCGTCCTCTTTTGGAGGTTTGCCAGCTGGAAAAAAAACAACATATCCTATTGAAAGAAGATTATTTGATGGATATTTTTGCCCCTGTGTTAAAGCAGCAAGGAAAGTTGTATATTCTTTAAACGAAAGTTGTACCTCCTGCTTCCTGCTCATCCCACTGTGGCTAGTTAGTTGCTTTACATCATGTATTAACTTCAAGTGAGCGAGGAGAAAGAGAGATAAGTCGTTTAACAGTCCTACTTGCACATTAATAATATATTAAAGTGGGGAGTGGGGAGGGAAGATGAATCAGAGGTAATGCCAGAACAGAAGAGTTTAAAACTTTTCCACAAGGCAACAGGTCTATGGGGGTCTAATTCATACCTTCTTTCTGAAAAATGCATTCCTACTATGCTCCTCTAGAATTCTAGCACTGCCAAAAATTATCAGACTCTAAACTGTCACTCACTTGCCCTTCGACTCAAGAAAGCGCCCAGCTGCTGACAACTTACTAGAACATGGTCCCAACTACAAAAGACTAGGGCCTGTGTCACCAGACTGAGCTTGAAATTTCAAGTCAAATATTAAAAAAAGATGTTAACTGATTCAAAAAAGGAGAGACACTGACTATATCTGCTCCTACAGTACTTAGACCAACACAAAATGACCACTTAAAACCTACATTGTTTTTAAAGGAAAAATATATCCAACTTCACTTGAGTATCATTTCATCTTCTAACACCAGCCTTCCTCTATCCAAACACCTCCTTCATTTGTAGACCACAACTGAGTTACTCTGCCATTAACCAGATTCAGTGATGTAAAGGAACATATATAACTTTTCTTCTTTTCAACAACTTCCCTAAAAATTACTCCTTTCAAGAAGTAATTCCCACATTTTTCCTTCCTTTCTCTTCATACACCATCTGACCTAACCCTCTCTGCAGTTAAAACAATATTGCACTTGAAGGACCGACTCACCAACTATTTTACTAAGCTACCTGGGAACATCCTTCTCCCACTTCACCTAAGCAAGCTAAGTTAGCAGACCAGTGTTTATTCAGAGCCTGAGTTGTCTAGAAATGCAGTATTCTGCTTCGCATTCACACTCTAAAGTACCCCTGGCAAGCCGTCTGCGATAAGCCAAGCTTTACCTACCCCCACTGACAACTGATGACCACGTCCCACCTGAAGGGCTGCCTCGTGCCACTGCAGTAGTAGATGCTTCCCCTGGTGCATTATGAGATACAAATTCTAAGCCACTTGAAATTGTACCCCTACCAGTAGAGACTCTGTGACCTCGAGGGTGCCGTTGTGCCTTAGGAGACATCCGTGGAGGCCCTGAGAAAAAGAAGACAACCCCACACAATAAGTACTTAACGTCCATCACTAAGAGTACCCAAACATACTATCTGTTTTTAAAACTGCATTTAATCTAATAACCCTCAATAATGCAGTAATACAGTCAAGCGATTTACACTGACATTGACTAGAACCGGGGATCCACGAGGCTAAAAAGGCCAAGCCATTGGTCCAGCCAGACTACCAACACGCTCATCACCTTGCTATGACTGCTCATGTTCATTGATATTTAGAAGCTTTATCAGAATTGAAACAGGTATGCAAGTCCCGGATTTAAATTATTTGAATCCAAGTATCCAATATTGCTTACTGCAAGACAAGCCAAAAAGGTTAGTGGCCCAGCTCCCTCTGGATAAGCACAGCTCCAGGCTACCAAACACTTTCCAGAAAAGAAAAAATTTCCATCATTTTTGTCAGGTGGTCAGTGATACCAAACATTTATTTACAAGAGTAGTCACCACTGGCTGACCAATGCTCTTGGGGAATTTCAGCAGAGCATTCTGCACCGAGGCTAAATTGCCTGCAGCAGGTCACAATTCATTTACAAGTCAGCAGAACTGCAACTAAACAAGTTATTGTTATCCCAAGGTTCAAGTCATGCATGTTTAACACCAGAAGCTAAAGTCGTAAGTGAATACAGTAATTCTGAACAGCTTATACGGCTGCCACAGAATAGTTATGCTCAACTCTAAGCAGCGATACAGTTTCTACATCCTAATGAACATTTTCTTTACAAGATCAGACTCCAAAGTTGATACTTCAAAAGGAAAAACCGTGTATGAACAGAAGACAATCTGGCTGATTAGAGTTCATTTCTAATGTAGGTCAATAATAGAGAAAAGTTCAGATAATGGCTTTCTGGTTTCAGATAAGGTTCTAAAATATCAAGTACCTCTTCTGGTTACATAAATCTTTAAATGTCAGCCTCTATTTTAACCATGAATCTAAAGTACGCTTCAATCCAAATTATATACAGGCCAGTATTTTAAAGTATACACGCTTCCCAGCAACCCTCCTTTAGCAGCAGATTAAATGTTGCAGTAAGCAGCAGTTCACTGCATGCCTGACAAATCAATCGCAAGTGCTAAAAAATAAGTGAATTTGCATGTGGATTCTCAATATCTTACTACGTAAAAAAATCTCACATTGATAAATTGACAGCAGCACGCCGTACAGACAGGCCTACTAACATCCACTTTCTGGTTATGAACCATCTCGAGCGTTTATCAGGCAAGCTGCAGAACAGTGTTACCGATACAATCAGCGGGATGACTGTTCTCCCTCCTGTGGCTCCACTGGAGCCAGCTACAGCAGAGACTGCGAGTTTCCAGCGAGTTCAGTATAACCAGTTTGCATTTTTCCAGGCTTGCTAGACCATGCTGTGCAACCTAATTTTTAAGTGCACTTAAATAAAATAAAAATTTAAAAATGTGTTCCTTACTGTACCGTCAGAGGACAAACCAATTCAATTCAGATAATTCTGCATATGGTTACCAAAGACTCATGGCTTAGCCTTTCTCTGCATATTCCTGACTGCTAGGGAACTTACTGCTCTGCCTCAACACAAACAGATGTAAAGCTTTGTACAGATTCGCCTTTGAAGCAGCTTATCCTATCCCATTCCACAGTGCACTCCTCTGAATACAGCTTTTAAAATTATTATTATTATTATTATTATTTTTGTTGTTGGTTTTTTACAAAAGGTAATTCAATGATTTAGTTAAATTTGAAACTGCTTTTTGTGGAACAACTGTATTAAAATATTTGATATTTTATATAAATTTATATTCCTAAATGCCCTCTGAAGTTATCAGGTCCTGCATGTTGCTGTTGGTTAAGTTAAGACACTGAGCAGCGTTTACAAAGCTGAGTTTATTTCATACCAACTTGGGAAATTTCACAGCTTTATTTTGTTTTTGTAAAGTTCTTCAAATAAAAAGGTTAATAGAAATAGTCTGATAAACTAAAGTTAAACACAAATTATAGGTTAAGTAATGAAGAGGAAAAACAATTTTGTAATTAAACTCACAAAGGAGTTAAACAAAGACAAACAAAAACATGAACAAATCGTGGTATTGTACCTTCTGAAGACATGCGTTTAGGCATAGTAGAGACAGGAGCTGGAGAACCATGAGCAGAGGGGTGAGACGGGGGCCTGGAGGGCCGCGAGGGGGGCCTGGAGGGCGGCCGTGTAGGGGTGGCTGCCCGAGGTGGAAGAGAGTTGGGACCTGACTGGTAGCGAGAAGGTGGGCGAGAGGAAGGAGATGGGCAAGGCGATGGCCAGGGAACACCTGACAGAACAAATGATATGAAGGAAAGTATAAAAACTAAAGAAAAATTATGGGGAAAAAGGTCAACAGAAAAAAAAAAGTAAAATATGACAAAATGATTTTTCATGTTTAACCCTTTGGGGATAGATTAGTTTATTTCTGCAACCAATAAAATAGTCTCTGCAAGGTTATTTCCGCCACTTCAGGTCAAATTCAACATCTGAATGTCACAAACTCCCCAAAGGGTTAATTAGGGTCTACAAATACTACTAAGGAATAGACAGTAAAGTTTGATCTGTTAGCCTATCATATATATGTTCTACAGTACGCATCACTCTTGACAAGGTCCTTACACAGCTACCAGAGGTTCTCAAACAGCGGTTCACATATAGTGCTGACTATACAAACTGCTACTTTCAAACCAAATGAAGAGCAATTATCAATTCTAGGAACTGCATCTTTACAAAAAACAGCGGTGTTCAGTGTCTGAATCCTGACATTTATGCCTTTATCAGTTATCTGAAGTATTAATGTAGTATTTTAATCTAGGATATAGGGTTCATTGTTTCCAAAACAAAGAAATGGAATTCACAAGCCATTCTGAGTATTTTAGGTATATGATGTTCGTTCAGTAGAGTAATAGGATGACAGAAACCACGAATACTACGAACAAATGTCAAGGTTAGCATTGTTTGGGCGAGACTCAGTTGTACATCCTTTATACAGCTGACTCTGTATTTGAAAAGGAAGTCTCACTTACCTTTAGATGTTTCTCAGACTTCCTCTCCAGATAGAGGCACTTGAGTACTATACGTTTTTCATTTATTCACAGCAATCTCATATAATAGCATTTTTAACTTATAAAAATAATGCCTCAAGGATAGGCAACTGCTGAAATCCATCTCAAAAATGGTGTTTGGTTTATGAAACACCGATTCCTGCTATACGGTGCCCAGTGATGCCTGTTTATAAATATTACCCACGTGTATAGCAGAAAATACTCAAATAGCTGTTTGGAGAGAAGGCTTTGGATTCCTATTCCCCTAACACTTTTCTTACTTTCCCAGCGATGACTTTTTTCCCCCACATCATCGTAAAGTCAGTGAGTTGCTTTGGTTTTTTTAATGGGGAACAGAATTGATACATGCACCAGAAAGGAAGAGTGATGCTTCCTCGGCTGCCACCTCCCTTTCACTAGGTGTCAGCATTGCTACTCCTCCAGAGCTTAGCAGTAGTGATATATAATGCAATTTTTAATCTTTAAAACCGCATACTGCACCATCATCTAAGACAAAGGTTTTTGAGAAGGAAAGCAAGTGACATTTCAGCTTCACAAAGCTACATACAGTGCAGTCAAACGCTTATTCCATATGAGGAAGTTAAACCCAAATCAAAATCACAACCTCTGTCTTAAATGATGAATGCTACCCTAGCTTATGAAATACATATCCCTAAGACCACACCATATGCAGTTTCAACATAATTAGATAAATGACTGCAATTTTGTAAGGCACATTCGTTTAGACTTCAGATACTTGCCTCCGTTAACTACTCTCTGATCTGCTCCAGAGTTAGGACTGAATTCTGAAGTATGGGATCCAGACCTTGAAATTGGTGGGCCTGATCCAGACTGGCCCATCCTTGGTGAGTTTTGTCTTCCACTTCCCCAGGACAGGACATCTCTATTCCTCTGTCCAGGTGGAATGTATTTATTTTCTCTGAAACACAGCAAATTTCTATCAGTGTTAAGATAGAACTGAAAGACAATGAAAAGTACCCCATCAAATGTTCTGCTGATATTTTCTATCTTTCTCAAACCAAGCTACAGCAAAATTCTAAATACTATCAGATGTTGACCTAACATTCACCTCATAAATTGGCTTTTGATACTGACCACACAGTCCACTTTCTACGAGCCCAGAGGCACTGAATGATTTAGTACTAATGCCTGAAATTCTCCATGACCAACCGAAACCACTGCCCTTTCCTGTCATTTGGTGTGAATTCACCACAGTGACATATCAGAACGGGGAAGTCTGCTTCACTACAGAGATAATACAGGGCCAGGCAGAGGTGTACAATTTAGCATCAGTGCCAAAACCAGCACGTGGTTGTTTACGCAAGGTTCCCAACCTAATCAGCCCTGCTGAAAAAGAACAGTTTCAATGAGTAAATTGCTACTGGATCAAAATATGTACATCATTTAAATAAAAATACTATTCAGAGTGTATGCAAGTACCTAGTGTTCACACCATGTCCTTCTCGTTCATTAGCATTTCTCTGAACAGCAGTGTATTTTTCTTCTTCTGTTCTTTCATCATTTTCCAAGGCAACCCGAGCTTTGTATTGGGCACTTGATTCAATTTCCTCTGCTAATTGAGTTGCTCTGGCTTCCCGTTTTAAAAACTCTTCTGAATTATCTCTTTCTAATGGCACCCTAAAAGACAATGGAAAGGAAAAGACTCTCTGAAATGCATTCAAAAGCACAAAGGAGCGACAAAAATTACATAGTGTTAGTTCTAACCAAGTCAGAGTAAAAAACCTTGCTTTTAAGCCAGTAGACTTACCATCTTTTTTAGTATACATATGTCAATATTCCTGCACCGGTTTGATATTTTGTGCAAATTCACTGTCATTTACCTGTCTAGAGAGCTGAGGTCAGGGTGCAGAGTTTTTCCATATCACTTGCAAAATCCTCAGTCCCTAAAGCTACGCAAAGACTCCAACTTCTAACATGATTGAGTATATTAGTAATAAAAAGACTTTGTCTGTTGTTTAGATAGGAAACTACCATAATAGACCAAATTTGAATTTATTTAGTTATTTACACATTCCCAACAGACACAAGAGTCCCCAGTCCTACTGAAATTAAAGAGTTACATGCTTAATCCTTTGATAATTCCAGCCATAGAATTTCAGCTCTTCCTGTTACGAATTAACTACAGAAAAGATGAGTGCAATACATTAGAGCATGGGACCAGAAACCCATGACTCATTTGCCATGTCCTAGGACCTCAAAACCATTCATTCCGCATATCTATATTAGGTAATAGCATATTGCAAAAAGCATACGTAGCTCCCTTAGGAAAGCCACCAAGTAAGAATTCGATACACAGGCAATGAAATCCTCAAAGATGTAACTGGAGATGGTATCATACCTGGCACTTCCTCCTCTCCACCCACGGATTTGGTTTTTACCTGTTCCAATTTTTGTTGAAGTATCAGGTTTTATAAAACAACTTTGCACTTTGTCGCCAATTCTAATTTCCAAAAAGTTGTTTCATCCAACCTTACTATAGAATAAACTACATAAAAATACAGAATACAGTTGAGGCTTGGACCATGCTATGCTGGGCATTATATAATCACTACTGCACATATTTCGAATAATATAAAAAAGAACAAAGAAAGTAGGTGGAGATACAAGCCAAGTATGAAATAATATATGCAAGATTACTCAAGTGTTGGTGGCAGAACTAGGAAAACAAGTGGCTTTGCCAAATTCCAAGCCAGCACTCAACTACTGCATCACAAGTTTTTCCCCACACACACATTTTTGGCCAGTCGAGACACCTACCGGCCTTATCAATGGTAACTGCAAGAATATTAAATAAAAACCTCACCCTTCAGCGTAAAGCGTTGGCTCACATAAGATATGCATGAACACAATGCATACAAACCTGAAGTCACGGGCCTCGCTTACTCTGTATTAAATATACACACAAGAAAGAAGAACACCCAATACACCCTCATTTATTTAAAGTGACTGAAAAAAAAAAAGTGAAGGGATGTATACAGGAGCACTGATGGCAACCTAAACAAGTAAAAGAATGATTTTACATTTTCTAACGGGGAAAAGGCCATTAAAGATCAACCAAAGGGGATGGGCAAGATGACATTGTTCAGAACCCCAGTGATGAGAGAAGCATGTACAGAGCAGCTGATCACCATACTAAGGCAGTACACTTGTACCTTTATGCAGTTTGACAGACTCTACCTGCTAACGCTTAGCTCTAGGAAGAGAAAACAATCAAACAATAAATCCTTTACAGTCCTTCAGTTGCACGTATAAGCATTTAGCTACACTGTTGCCCATCACATGCTTGGGAAATCCGGAGAAGAGTCTCCCAGTTTAGCAGGCTGATAGGCAAAGCAAGCTGCTTGACTAGGAAACAATGGAATTTGTCTCTGGCAATTTAGAGCCACCTTCATGTTTTTAATCTGTTTCCATTAATACCCATAAAGCAGAAAGATGGAAGACTAAAGTTCAAAAGTACAAAAAGTACTTAGAGCAGTGAAGTATATGAAAGAACAGCTTCCCCAGGATTCAAATGTAAGCCGATTAAGACACTTTGATTATCACCACGTTACAAGTCTATTTTAACAAAACAGTAAAAATAAAGTTGTTGAACCAGAGGTCTGTAGACAAGTGCTCCAGTTCTGCATAAAAATCAAAATATTCACTGCAATTCCTTGACATTCAAAGATAAGTTTACGCTTTGGGGGTTAGAAGAGTGGGAAAATGTTAAAAGACATTTCACAATGGCTGTTGAACATCTGCAATTGATTGTGTTGCAGTCGCAGTTAACATTATAGCTTCAGACTATTGGCAACAGGTCCGCACTGCCAAAGTAGCCAGAGCAGGCTTTATACTACTTCTATATTCAAGTTGTTATTATATTGTAACTGGAACTAAAACCGGACAAGTCTGCTAAACCAGCCATCCACGGCACACAACCCCCCTTAGTTATCAGCAACGTTTCAACATTCCAATACCTACCGGATCAATTGTCTCAATAAAATTAGGAATTAGTCAACCTGTTCCGATAGGTTAAACACAAAGTATAGGTATAGCAGCTATGTAAAGACAGTTTCACAATTTGGTATTATCCACCCTATTCAGTTTTTCTAAGAAATAAGCATTATTGCATGCATAAATTCAGAAAATGTTGCAACGGGAATGAACTGTGCCCATTTAAGGGAATATATAATGATTACTAGATCTTAATTATTCACAGAACACTGGCAAGGTTTCTTAAGCACTAATCATGCATTGCTCTTTCAGTTTTCCATTCCACAACTTTAGAAAGTACGTAAAATTATCTTCAGAATAAAGTTTGTCAAACCAGGGAGAACATTAAATACAAATCTAATAACAAAATATTTTGGAACTTACGTATAAGAAGATAAACTGCTGTCGTAAGTGGATACTACACCATAATTTTCTTCATTGTAACGAAACATGTCATTGGGATCCCATCCATTAGACTAGAAGAAAATGATGCTTGTTTTTCAAAATGACACTGGAAACACATTCCCTTAAAATTAAGGGCTGATGGCGGAAGTTAAACCTTTTGCCCCCTTTCCTAGGCCTATGAATTCACTGTCCAGATAGCAAAGTTACTAAAGCTACAATTTATTTCAGGGAACTTTGTTCATCAGATGCGCAGATTTTACCTTCAAAAGCCAGGTTTTTGTTTGTAGTGTGTTATTTGTGCTGGTTTTATGAGGTTTTGGTTTTGGGTTTTAAGTACCCCGTACTAGGAAGATTACTGGCTAGCAAGAAATATTACATGAAGGCCTTTTCCAAAAAGTGAAAATTGACAAATTGACACTTGTGCACATTAGAAGCATCCCTTGCTGTGGTGGCAAGTGCTGAAACTTTTCGAATGCGCTACTACTGCAATTATCTGAGACGCACACACCACGGTAAGAAGACCCCTGTTGATCTGCACAACTTCCCCACTTTAGTAAAATTGCTATTACAGCACTCAAGCTCAATGATAGATGTTTTGAATGTTTTATAAAAGCACTGACACTATTAAATATTCTAGTAAATCCCAGCTGTACAATACGTACACTAAAATTGACCAGGTAACTGTGCTACTTGAAGTTAATACGCTCCATGGGTAGATTCTCCTCTAATTAGTAATGTTATCTCCTTTCTTTAACATACTGTAGTCCTCACTAAAAAGAATGCATGGTTGAGTAAAAGCTAACTGCTATGATATATAAAGAAACGTCATTTGAGACCATACTCTTCATCTAACGACTCATCATCTACTGAGACTGTATCTGTGCTTATTAAGTCATGGGTCAGACTTCCATCAATTTCCTTCATCTTAGCTCAGAGACAGTTAGCTAAGCACAATTTCACCATAATTTCCAAATGCAATGATAGCCAGACAGGAATGCTCTGATTAAACATAAATCACTTCAGTGTATTGCTGAATTTGAAGTCCTTAATAAAAGATCCTCTTTTCAGCCAGTCCGTGAGTCAAACATGTCCCTTACCACAGCAGCTGCCATTTGTCAATATTTGCCAAAAGTGGCATTTGAAATCCAGCTATTCTTGTTCAAACTGTAAAAATGTACTGTGGCAGCTGCTAGCAAAGACTGAACATACACCCATACAAGGTAGGCCAGCAATTTTAGTCAAAAGTTCATTACTAATTTAAAATTAAGGAATTGTTGCAAGGCATGTCCAGAGAAATAGCTTATTTTCTACAGACTGTCATAGAAGATAAAAAAGCGTTACTTACAACATCTGTCTCTAATGCCTCAAGCTCCTCAGTAGCGGTGGTCTCTCCTCCATCCCATGGTTCAAGATCCTTTTCCTTGTGTTCACCATTTACTTTAGCACTGATGGCTGAATCAGTAAAAGCATCTACAAGGGAGCGGGGAGGGATGGGGGTGAAATCAATCTGCTTAAGTACAGGAAGATGTACACACTAGTTTAGCTGAGGAACAACCAAATACAGCTGCATCGCAGGCACATTAAACATCATTCACCTTCTCTTGTAGTTGCTGTATTCAATAGGACTACATTAAAAAGGTGCCTACTTCATACTTAGAATAACTATGGAAGCACAGACTAACTTCTAACATGTTTACAAGGGGCTTTGCAAATTTACAAGGCAAGGCATCAAAGAATAGCAGTAATTACTTTCAGTTATTTCAAAATATTTTACACAAACATGTATGTTTTTGCTAACAAAAAAAAAAAAGAGACTACCTGAGGATCCCCGTTCCTCTAGAAAACCCAAGACACGTATAAGATGCTTTTCCAGACAGCCCGCACAACTGCACACTAGCAGATTATGCTAATATCAAAAAAGCATGAATGCAACCCAATCCCATTCCCTAAATAAATGGGCAGAATCCAAATTTCCCTTCAAATATCTGAGTTTCTTCTATTTCCACAACTCCTCAGCACACCAGCATGCACACACACACACGCTTTTACTCCCTTTGCAGTGTAACTCAATTATCGATTAGCTTGGTGCACCCCATCACTGTGACGTGAACGGAGATGTCCTCTTCCCTGCAAGAGCTTTTTCAAGCAGCAGCTTACCCGAATCACACAGCAAGATTCAGAAACTCTCTACCTCCTGTTCTCAACAATGTATGAACATAAATATACCATGAGGTGCACTAAGCAGTAAGGGTCCGCTATTGTTTCTATGAATTATAAAAACGTATATTAAAAAAACTAAAGACTGTGAGCTCTTATTTTCACTTGTTCATGTTTCATTCAAACCAGACTTAAGAAGGAATAATACTAGAATATTAAAGTGCTGTTAAAAAAAAAATTGTACAAAGCCATTCACCAAGGAAGCCAAGCTTTTATATTCGTTAGCAACTGAATCTCAGAGCTGCCTGCAAATTCTTAAATTACTTAAAACAGAAGGAACTTTAAAAAATAAAATAAGCTTGTTATACGTTTATAAATAATTAAATAAGCCTAAAATAAATAAGCTTTCAATCTAGAATTTCCTATTATTCTACTGATAAAATAAGGAGCAAACATTTCAAACCTTTAGAAAGAATGACATCAAACCACCAGGCAATGCCAGATATGGAAGAATGTGGCTTAAATTACCTTCTGGCAAGATCTGAAATCTTCCTAAGAAAAATGAACTTTAAAGCCATCGTGAAAAGAATTCACAACATATGAAGTTGGCCGCTGATGTTACAGTTTTTGAACAATTACTGAAGACTTTTTAGAGAGAGACTGCTGCCATAGCTTATTATTCCTCTTTTACCCAATTTCACAGTCAAGTTCTGTACATAAATTGGTATGATCTCTCATAAAAGTTAACCGTGCTTAGTCTCCCTAATAACATTCCGCACTATCTCATGAAATGCTTGCTCAACTCATACACAAAGACCAAAGGAACTACGGATAAGCAATTAAGCATTGTTAATAAGCATATATGAAACAAAATGTTACCGAAGATATATGAAAAATAAGACAAGTTTATTAGCTAAACATTCATTTCAAATACAAAAGAATCAGTAAAATAAGCCAAGAAAGCCAAATGAAAGAAAGACACCTAACCAGGCACACCACTGTTAGGGCTCATGTGAAACTGCCAAAACCTGCATCGATCCCCCTGTGAGACACCATAGTCTGGCAACCAAAGCTGTGACAGCACCTACGCAGCTGGAGGTTAACACTTTCACGTGAGATTGTATTTTAGCTCGTCACTAAATGCAATGCCCGGAGCAGGCACATTCTGGAATTACTTGTAAACTGTTCTGAAACAGAGTCATTTTATCCTTGTACGACCCACGAGCTGAGGCACAATTCCAATCGTTGCATTTTCAACTGTTCAGAATAGGTAAAAATCAAGAGTGAAAACAGAAGTCATCAACTAACTGCAAGGTACTCTAAATGATTCTGTGAAGTTATGCATGCATGTTTCATAGTGCCATAAATGTGCGAGCAAAGATATTAAGTTTCCGTTATATATTATGGTAACAAAAGCATTATGAAAGGCAAGATGCAGAGACATAGCGTGACTGCCAAAAAAGTTACCTGTTTCTGAAGGAACTACAACAGATGTGGAGAGAGAAAAAATTGGAAGACATCAGATACAAATACAGGCGGATTTTTTCACATTATATGGCTGAATTCAGGCAAAGCTAAACTCTTTCAGTCCCTCTCACAGACATATTCAAACTGATTATACATCTCCCACCCTGCAAAGATCATTGCCATAGCAAGACCTCAGCAACATTCCCACCTATTAACAGCCCCATGTATTTTCCCATTTTGCTTCACCAAAAAAAAACCCCAAAACCCCAACCTTCCAGCCTACAGATTTCTAAGGTGTACCAGCTTGAAAGAAAACATCTCAGTTTCCCTTCACACAAACAGCTTTTAAAATATACTATAAAAGAAGATATGCTTAAATGTCATCTGAAACGACACAGTAACACAGTGCTACCTCACTCCACAGTTAAGTAGTAACTACAGAGCATATTTAACAGGGAGGCAAAAGGCACTTGCATTTGGAAACTCTGCATTTACCTTATCAATACGTGGTAGCTAACGCTGCCGTAACCCAGACAGACCAGTGCTGCTTGTGTGCCAAACACCATTAATTCAGTGTTTCATCTTTCATCCTCTCAGATTGGACATTTTGCACCAAATGCAAGTTGGAGGCTGCTTACGTCACTTAAAACTGTGAAATTTCCTTCTACATTACTTCAGTGGGAGTAGAGGGAACTCTTCTCCCATGAGATTAGATAAATATGAGTTAGGAGGACTGATGACAGCACCTGACAGAGGTAATCTGCTGTATTTCAGAAGGGCGTTCCCTTAATTTCTATTAAATTACTTCAGACAAACTCCATGCACGACCGTGCCATTTTGGATACTGTGAATAAAATACTAGCTTAGCAAGACTCATCTACTCAACCCACTAATTTTCTTATTTAAAAAGCCACATAAACATTCAGCAGAGTGCTGTTAAAAATTATAATGATACAGATGAACTGGGGGAAAAAAAACCCCCAAAGTCAAAACAAAAACTCCACTATCTAACGAATGCTACAGATCTGAGTAAGATGTGTACAATCAATGCTAAATTTCCCGGTAGAATCCAGTGTATCATGAGGCACAGAAGCTTCACTGCTCTTCATTTCTCTCTCTCTTTGAATGGAAGTCACAAGTGAGACTGCAACATCAGTTTAACCTCTACAACTCAAAGAAAATCCAGAGTTAGGAGAAATTCAAGCTACAAAGGCAGACTTCTAGTCAGACGATATGGTCTCATGAGCATCCAGGCAAAGTTTAAATGTAGCAGAACGGTACCTCAAGGCACAGATCACTATTTTCCTGGAACAGACAGCTAGGCGGGCATACGGGACACCACGATTAAAAAACGGGGCAAGTCAAACAAGACATTACCAAAATTCATGTAGGTATGTAAATTAATGGAACATGTAAAAAATTATTTCCACAAATAATTGTTTCCGAAACAAAAATACTGCTCTTAAGATTCTTAGTAAAGTAGAAGCTAAAACATGAAGTGCTGCTACAAGTGCCGACTGGCAGAGTAAGAACAGACAAGATACTGACTGCACAGGCTCAGCCTCCCCCTTATCTGGTGCCTCATATCTCTGAGCTGTTGAATGAGCAATTCATGTGACACCTTGACATGGCCAAATTTTGAATCAATTCCTTTTCTACATGGTAAAACCCAAATTAAAGATCAAACAAAAAATCTGGTCAAACCAGGGTCTTGAGCTGTAACACTCAATTAGCCTCACTGCCTCTCTAACTGCTTAATGTGACATCTCCCAAGCAAAGAAGTTTGATATCAAAGACCTCGCTTCTTGTTTTAAAGCCTGCTAACTGGGAAAAAAAAAAATCCCAAGAACAATTCTATTCAACAGAAATTCACATTAAGTAAAGGCAAATTAAATATACACATTCTGAGAAAAACTCAGCTTGGGCAAGTTCTTAAAGTATGTGCTATTAAGTGAGTTAAAGAAAAAAATGCCAGAATAGAGCACTTAAGAGTCCAGGTTTAATTAATTTCAGTGTTTAACATGCTTGTTTTCGCAAACCTGTTGCGAGCTACTAATGGTGAAGAGCAGAAATATGCAATTAAGTGCAACTCTGCAGTTCAAATGTTATTAAACCAATCGGCATTACGTGCCGAAGGTGTTCGTGCTGCACACTGCAAGCTTTGATTGAGTTTAGCAGAGCCCAGAATAAACTGAGGTTTCACCTTAAAGGTTTCAACAGTAAACTCTCAGTTGTTTTGTAACTACTTACTACTGATTTGAAACATTAAAACCAGTTACCGCCAGCTTTGCAGAGCCAACATTTCCTTCCTTTGTTCCGACTATGCCTACTGCTATTCCCCTTGCAACACATTCTCTGGAAGGATGCCACTTACAGTGCTAATTCAAGGAAAAACTTAAATAACCAATTTTCTTCTGCCTTTTTTCATTGGATTCATAATATTTTTCTCAGAGTGCAGTAACGCTGCCAAAAAACCCAATAAAACCATTGTAGAAGCCTTTTACTTTAACAGTAGTTGTGATGAACTGTCTTGTCTTTAAAGAGAAGCCAAGAAGGCAACTCTGAGGCCCTACTCAAATTGGAATGATACACAAGCCAGCACTGTCGACCGATCAGTGTTTAGGACTACATGAAACACTGCTAGGAGCTTGTTCTGTAGAACACAGGAGAAATATACCCTCCTGTTTCAATCACGCAGCCCAAGTAATCTAGCAACGATGAGGTCTAGGCGCTTCCCCTCTGACTCAGAAGGTGAAGCAGAGAGACGTTACATGCTAACGTACAGCCAAGGATTCCAACTTGCACATCCCAGCAGATTTTTAGCAGCCGATTTTCCACTGCCACGTGCAGAAGACAGTGCTTGTCCCTCTTTAAATGCAGACAGAACAGTTTGAAAAGGGGATGTTGGATATAATACAATTTCACCTGAGTTTTCCAACGCATGTTTCATTCATCAGCCCGCCTGTACTGCAGAAAGCCCTAATTCCACAGTGAGAGGCCCTCAGGTGACTCCTTTCCATGCATCTTGAAGCCTAACAGGAATCTACATGAGTACAAAACTCTGTGCAGACTGACAGAGCTGCAAATAAGGGCCCAGGAAGGACAGATTTGTTTTTTAAACAGAAACTGTTAGAATGTCCCTATCCACACAGACCTACTACTTTTTCTCCCAACTCTTCTTCCAATTTCTACAATCTGGGCAGGCACCATACTTTCTCCACTGGTGTGTCTAAAGGTGCAATGTCATGCTTGGCACAAGCAAATCTAAGACTGCTGCATCCAAACGTGGTCGTTTCACCCACCCTAAGCCTGTTGTTACCTCCCCTGCACTCACACTACTGATGTAGCTGCAGGATGAATTATCAGCTCACTGCTTCAAACCTGCACAAGTATGATAGCGATGAAAGGTGCCCAGCAGACTATTTCAGACAGTTCTTTCAGAGACGACTCTATTTTCCACTCCTCTGGAAAAGAGAATCCATCCCATTCCCTTTCTCCCCACCTGCTGCCCTTTCCCAGTGCTCTTCCAGTCTCTTCTGTCTGACTTGGTCAGACAGGCTGACCACACAACTAACATCTCTGCTATTCAAGTCTGAGGGTGAGGCAGAAGATCAAGACCCACAGAGTCACGAGCACCATTTGTCCACATTCCTCCAGCTCAGCAAAGAAGCAAATGCCAGAATAAAAATCCGTAGAACTCCAGCTTCTTATACCAAACCAGGAAACCAGAATGCGCTAAAATTTCCAAAACAGTATCTTTTGTAAAAATTAAGTTTACTTCAAGGCCTCCTCAAGTCTAATAGTCTCCTAAGGGTTAGGAGAAACTACATACACACACCCCAACAAACCTCCAACAAACCTTACTCTAGGGTAAGCCTCTCCTATGGCAACAGAGTGCTTGTGACGTGCCCTTCCCTTTAACTACATTTTTAAAAGAAGTGAGAGCAAGCTGCCTTTCCAACCAAGTATGACCAAATTGTCTCCTAACTTGTCTGTGAAAGCCAAAAAACATTGAGGGCTAGGAAGTTTTAAAATATTTGTTTCTGGGTAAGTGCGACACTGTCAAACTTCTCTGGGCACCAGACAGTAACCATTCCCAATACAAACACAGCAAGGAGCACCATCTCCTCACCTAGGAGTTCAGACTTGGTTTTTACTGTGAGTCACACAGGCTTATCTGACTCGGTACCATGAAGATTTGCATTTATTTGTAAGAACAAAAGGCCAGTGGTTCCTGCAAGCATGTTCATATACTTCCATTCTTTTGAATCCTTGCTTATTTAATTTCCCAAGAAGCAGAAAGCCCTTCATTGCTCTAATTTGCAGGTGTGATCAGAGACTGACTTACACTTTCAAGTGTCATTTCAAGATAATACATTTTTGAGACAAAATGGAAAGCAGATAAATTTACCCACTACAAGTTATCGAGTTTTGCAGCCTTCCAGTTTATCTCGCTTCAATTCTCTATGGCTTTATTTCAGCTCCCCTCTCCAGCTACTTAGGAGATTTAGATTCAAAGACATTCCACCTAATAAAGCGAACTGAGTGACTGTTCAACCTGAAGCAGTAATTTTCTTGTAGAAAACTACCATTGAGTAAGTTTTCCTAGAAGTAGTAGTATATTCTTCATTCCGTCTGCTCAAAATCTATAAAGATTGGGTAATGGACAAGCCTGGTTTGCATTTATATTGAAGTGATGTTCATAGCAGACCCATTATAAAACAGCTCTTGTGTAACTTAAACTCAAAGTCCCATCCAGAACCTGGAACTTATCTGCATTTCAATTCTACATTTGCTCTGGCATTCTGCATCTTCTTCTGGGAAAAGCAAATTCCTTGAAACGACAAGCCTCTCATTCTGCAGCTTTAAATCAGGCAAGAACTTGTGCATGTACGCACGCAAGGTGAAAAGAGAAAGATCTCATTAAATGTGCACCGGTCCCTACACATCCCTAAGTCACTGGTACATGGAAATAAAGCATGAGTGTTACAATAACCAGTTAGCTCCCAGTGACAGTTGTTGATCAACCTTAAAATGTACACATGCATTTCACTCCATGACATAGAAAGATACGTATTTGCTTTTATTCCTTAGCCCAGCAAGTCAGGATCATAAGCACAAAACCCCTGAGATATGGCTGCCCCAACCAAAAAAAAAAAAAAAAATCTGCAAAGGAACTAGAGCTGTCTGACTTATGAACCTCTTAGGTTCCAGAAAAATAATTAGTGTCTTGGAGGTCAGACATTAAAAGAAGAAGTATGAAGACTGCCTGACTGCCTGTAAAATTGTTTAATTCTGATAGTTTCAAGTCATGTCTTGAGATTTTAAGACCACTTGCCTGCCCCCTCGCTGGGTTCTTCTGTATTTTGGAGAACCTTAACTACAAGTAGTAAAGCAGAAATTAAAAACACACATACTGGATTTTCCTAAAGAATTTTTAGCTCCATTTGCAGTAGTATTTTGAGCATATTTATATGAATGCATGTTTAGATACAAAAGTTACTTAACTAAATATAGAATTTATATATATACCAACTCTGAACAATGATCTTTTTATAAAGAATTTGTGTATTCACGGATTCTCATATAACACTGAACAGACTAATTTAGAAAGACATTTACAAAAAAACCCCCAACCTCCCACAAAATCTGTAAAATGTTTTGTAACACCACTAAGGATTTGCTTTCCAGATGCCAAGAACAGCCACTCAAAGCAAGAGTGCCCCCACAAAGGTTCTGCAACCCATTTTAAAAATGTTGATAAATTTCTCATTTCAGCAGGTGCTGAGCATCTGCTCTTTCCATTGACTTTAATGGGATACTTGGATGTTCAGCACTCATTAAGAATTGAAAGTCTAAATATGAACTTTAGTTTTTGGATCCTAAAGCATCTAGTTTGAACAATCTTGGCTTATGACCTTAAGATACAGACAACTTTAAAAACAAGTATACCTCTTCTCGCATAATTGGTATCCATATCCTTAAAATGCACCATAACAAAATCTGAAGACTTGAACAAGATACTCTCTAGTATGTCTTCACGTTTTGGCCCCAAACTGGATTCTGCAGTCTTCCGATGAGCAGCATCAAGCACTAAATCACACTATTAGAGATATAAAAAGAATATACTAATTTAATGCACAATAAGCTACTCAATACCATCACATACGTACAAAAACCAGACATTTATAATAGTTTGCAAAAATGAATCTGCTTGTGTGAACCTAGACATGAATAGTCAAAATAATTCGTAATAAATACTCAAATTTTAAATAAAACACTGATTATTCAGTATTAGGATCTTTTAAAATACGGTAGAGTCAAAATAAAAAAAATTACCTTAGGACTGTAGGTTTTAAAAACTCCTTCATATATACCACCATTTTTCACCTGTACTTCACATTTGGATCCCTAGAATGCAACAAGAATGAAAATACAGCTTTCTATCAGCCTGAAAAAAATGACATTTGAGTGGTTTTCTCAGACGTATTTTTTACATATGCACAATGTGTAAAAATACAGCTCAGTTTTTAGTTAAATCTTCTCATTCAATATTTGCCCATTTATAAATACGCCACTGTGTTCTGCAGATGCAAACAGCTGGGTGTCTACCAAAATTTGTTCTGAAGGGATTTAAAGATACTCACAAAAGCATATTTGGTACTCACAAGACTCTTGACCAGTTACGCACACAAACAAGTTTTTGTGCAAACCCCAAATCTGTGCATATGTATTGGTACAAAAAAGGATGAAGGCTTATCCTGGACTCTAGTGGATGTGGGACAGTCTGCCTTACTTAATTTTGGCGTGTCAGTACTTCCCTTAAAATTTGGGGAGAAAGATGCCTACTGTTTAATATTCGCTCTATTATATTACACTTAGTGGGCTAGTTAACAATTCTGTGTCACTATAGAAACCGTTTACCCTCCTTCCAAATATCAAGACTTACAACAACTGAAGTAAGTATGTGAACCATTCTCATGTTTGCATAGATGCCATCGAAAGAAATCTGAAAAATAAAAAAAGACATTGTCATGAATATAGGAGAAACACTTGTAACAATTCAAAAAGCCAGTGCGCCAAAAATAATGCAGGCTTTCATCATACCAGTACATGCTAAAACACATACATACTAGTACATTCCTAAAAACACTGGTCCAAAACCTTACTCAGTCCATATACATAGAACTTAGGTCATGTAAGATTTACAGAGGACCCTTACCCCTTCCTCTGATCAATTAAAGATCCAAACATCCTTCCAAACAAGGTAAACTTTACAGAGTGCCCCTCATGTCACTCAATAAGGAAATTCCTTTGCTGGCTGGCTGAAGCTCATACGCACAGACTCCTGACTGAGAAAGCCCTGCTAATATCCCTCTCTGGTTTAAGAGCCATCAACAGGATAAGGTACTTCAACTGCTGTAGAATTAAAAAGGTGCTTTCAGGGCCTGCTGAATTCTATCTTTTCATCTAACAGACCTGATTACTCGCATTAACAGAAGCTAAAGTCATCAAAATGTGGAGAGTCAAAGAGCTACAAAACGTACCATAAAATTAGTTAAAAGCAGTTCCCTGCAGTATCAGAATCTGAGATCCTGCACTAGGAGAGCTGACCAAGTGTCACCCAGGTTGCTAGATGACAAGCTCACATAAGCATACATGAAGCGGCGAGGATGTCCGTGTTTTGTTGCAACACCTCCTATCTCTCCCTGTCAACTTCAAGCTTGTGAAACAAGAGATGCTGAAACATGCAAGGACCTCACCGTATTTTGAACTTTTTAACTGACAATCTATCTTTTAGACTGTCAGCTACTTAATCCACGTACTCCTTGCCTGTTAGCCACGCTTCCTGGTCTGAAAAGATACGTTTAGGTCTCCTCACTCCATATGGAGGACGCAAAGACTGACACTTTTGTGATGTTTAGTGTTTGCGTATGACCTTTTTCACCACTCTTCCTCAAAGCTTCTTTATTTTTACTGAAGAGTCTTCATATCTTCAATAAACATTTATGTAAGTAAACTGTAGTCCTTTGAAACTTTCCTACTTCTGCCCCATTCCCCAAAATTAGTCATCCTTGAAAACCAGGCCAATAACAAATTAGCAAATATTTCATTAGTGCAGTTCAAAGATCCATTCTTTAAATCAAGACCCACATAAAAATAAATAAAAAAAAATTATAAAATCATGTTCTACAAGTCAAGCCATGCCTCTACTTCAACAGTATATCGCCTCGACGATAACTAAAGCTACACATTCAGGTTACTGATAATACTGGGTTAGCTATTTTACAGTAAAGCTAAACAAAATTGCTATTTTTATTTAACTAAATGCTGTCTTACTGTCATCTGTTTAAGGGAGAAGCCAATATTAGTCTTCAGAGAGGAACTAATTCAGAAGCATTGCTGTAAGTTAAATGTTATCTGTATCTACAACTATAATTGCAAGAAACTGCAGAGGCTTTATATTAGCGTAGTCAAAAGTTTAAGTGACCCTTCACCCTCCCAGGAGACTTAAAAGAATGCAAGATGCTACATCTTCAGAAAAGTATATCTCAGTCTAAAACGTTCATCAAGGTATCCAAAGGAAAAAATGGATAGAATATTCCGGTATCTGCTACTCTTACGTTGATATTTAGGTTCACTGTACATAAGTTGTTTCCTCATAGCTAGGAAGTGGTACGATGAGGAAAAAACATAAACTTACCATAGGCTGAGGCGGTCCTTTGCCACTGCTGCGACCTCTGAAATTAAATACATATACATGGGATATGAGTAAAAGAACAACTGCCAAAATTAACCAATTCCTTAACAAGTAAGAATTCAAAACCCCATCTTTTTAGCGTTGGCAATGGGATCAGAGAAAACCAGCACTCCCTTAGAGCAGAACTTGACAACTACAGGGCCCACAGCATTATCCTCCAAACTACTGACCTACAAGCAAGTAACACTGGTTAGTAGGCAAGAGGGTTACCTACAATAAATTAAAGGACAAAACAAAGAAGATACTAAGCCTATGTCATTACAAAAATCCAAAAATACTCTCTCTTAAGCAGAATCCTGTAACTAAAGCTGATTTCCCAAAATACTGGCACAGAAAACCAAGAACTGCCTTCAGGCCCAATCCCTACTTAGCACAGCGTCCCTTCTCCAAGACCAGAGGCTCCGTACATCGTCACTGTCCATCTGGTTAAGGGCCACCCAAATAACCGACCCCTGCTGCAGGCTACAGAGGAGCCTTGAGTCTAAGGCCCTACCTAAGGAGCTTGCTTATCACCACTATCCCAAGCCAGCAAGTCAAACTAATTAAGTCTGTCCATCCCCTCAAAACCGCTAACTACTTTTAATGCAAATCTGTCAATGTGTAGCACTCGGGACACTTCAAAAAGCTTTTAAATTAACCACCATGCTCTTAATATTTTGCAAACTGAGATGTAACAGCCTGTGCCCTCCACCTCCCTAGCAAGTCCGCAACAGTGACAATTCTTCAACTTCACTGGTGTGCCTTATTTCAAAGTTACTTCCTTGTACCAAGAAGTCCTCGTGTCAAATATTTCTCATAGTGATTTAGATTTGTATCACAACTTCAGGAGCGCACACGGTAACGTAAGGCAAAATGAAGTCTTCTATAATTTTTTTTTAAAAATCAATTTTTTAAATGGACCCACCTTACAGATGCAGAACCATTTGAGAAGCCCAAAGAATCGCGTCTGCATTTGAAAATATCCAACCACCACTGAAATCTAAATCCAACTGAATGCCAACTGCAAACAATTGCTTTTGAAAACGCTATGCTGTGGTTGAATACAACCTTGCCCTCAAAACAACATGCCCTTACAAAGAGGGCTCAGGAGTTAGTCAAGAAATCAAAGGAACTTCTCCCAATGAACATAAAACCCCCTCCAATAAATTCTGCAGAAATAAGCAAGTCCATCAGAGAACCATGAAAGGCCTCAATAAGGAAAAAATTAAAAACCACTGAAGTATCACCTGACTCGTTTAAGTAAACAAGCTTCCGAAACAGAAACGTAGTCTCATACAGCCTCACGCACGCTGATGACATTTGCTGATTGGCAATAACTGCAGATTGCAGATGTCTAGCTGACTTTTTCAGAATACTTGCAGAGTACTAATCTCATTAAAAAAGCACCTAATGCAAATAGCCTTTATTTAATTACCTATCAGCCTTAACTTTCCATAAAGCAGAGTCACAACTTCAAGGCTTGCTCTGGAGACGAGCAAGTCTCACCATTTACCAAGTCTGCCATTTGTCAAATTGCTACCTACAGCACGGCGCTGAATTGAGCCCTTCGTGAACCTGGAACGTAATTTTTGCATAATATTCAGACGAATGATCCTCTTCTTTCCAAAAGCCATTTCACCAGATGTGAAACACCCAAATATGAGAGAGGTACAGTCCAGTTGTGATCTTTCCTTTTATTACAATCAAAAGCGTTGACAACACGGTCTTGCAAAGAACATGGCCGAAGTCAAACAATTTCACCAGTTCCCTCTGTTGGTCTCAAGGATTTTAGAAGATACTCTTTCCTACATCAGCTACAGAAATGGTCAAAAGTGAAAGAGTTTGGTGTCTCTGAAACAGAAAGCACTCCCATTTTTAGTGACAAGTATTCTTAGAACTTAAATAACTGGGTTGCTAGACTGGTCAGAAAGTTTGTATTCCCTTTAAGCATCACCCAAAGTGTTCTAGATTTTCCATCTCTTACGGCATTTCTAAAATTACTGTTCCTGCCCATATTCCTTTAAGAAACAATCTGATCGTGTGCATCCACGTTGGCAAGAGGTACTAACTTCTATATCAGACCAAGAGTTAAGCTAATTGTGGAAATTCTGTATGCTATTCTGATCAAACAGACCTCTTTATAGACCTGATCTCTTTTTTTCCAGCTACAACTGCTAAACACAAAACCCTCAGAAAAAAGACAGACATTCACCAATTCTGCCAATGCTACAATTCAACCAAAACTGTGCGTATCTTCTGCTAAAACCAAGGCCATCAACTGGAGGCTTATATTCCAACAGGTGAAAACTCAAGTTCAAACTGCCCTTTCATGCATCTTTGATGCATCACGTGAAAAAAAAAAATAGGACCTTTACAAAAGCAGAAAGTAGATGGTCTTTGCCAGAAGTTTACCACAATTTAAAACAGGAGAGTTAACACTAAGAAATGGGGTGGGGGAAACTAGAAGGGTCAGTAGCAATTTGGCACTGCCACCTAGAACCACCTCTTGATTACAGTAAGTATGGTAAATTAAAAATAAAAATATATTTTGTATCACAGCAATGTGGTTAAAGGTAAGCTCGGGAGAAGGTGCAGCAGCTTGGCAAATCCAACTTCTAAACCCTTTGCTTTGGGGTAGGAAAGTCACAAAGTCAGAAAAATGCTGCACCAGCCAAAGTAACGACCAAGCAATTAAACTGGGTAGCCAACTCATCGCAGGCCAGCAGTTACACCTTTGGAGTGAAAG